CCGTTGAGTACAAGTGAAAAAGCTTTTTTAACAATGGAGACAGATTCCACCTTGTCTCTTCTACATAGTTCGAGCAAAGAGCCTGGTAAAATTACCTGGTTCAGCCATGTGTGTAGGGCTACCGTCCTGATCAGTTCTCGAAGTTCGATGTACAGCCTCTTCAGCTTGCGAAGTACTTGCCTTATTCATCTGACGCTGTACTGAGGAAGGAATCATCTGGGTCGGAGGCCGAACCTAAGTCGAACAGCACTGATAATTTGTAGCAGACCATCAAAAAAGAGAAAAAAATTGATGAAAGAAGTAAACGGAAGCAAAATGGCTGTGTAAATGAAAAAAAAGATCACGCTACAGAAGCAATGGGGATTTTTCACAAAGAAAAAAAAAGAGGAATGTGGATAAATAGGGTGGTTAAATTATAAGTCGCCACCAATATGTGAAATTTTGTTTGAACGCTCAAGAAGGCTCACTCACTTTCCCCAGCTTTCCTTGCGCAGCTGCAGCGGCGACGAGTTGCTGTTGCTGAAGGCGCAGAAGAGTCGCTCGTATCTGATCATCTGAAAAAAATTATAGATGTCGGCTATATGGCAACGCATAATTACTAGATGCAACAGTCGCTACATCACAAATACTTTTTTATTTTAGATTTTTAGACTTCTGGCTAAAAACCGCACCCCTCACCACACACCGCAACCGGACCACACAAAGTGGCAAACATTATGGGTATGAAAAAAGGGCAGAGGAAGGTGAGCTATTTGCCACAGTTACATGTATAGCAGACATTATCTCAATGATGAGCAAATATGCGCTCTGGCATTTGTATGGAAGATTGTTTTGCGATGCAGTTACTTCAACTGCACCCTTTCAGCAGCAGTTCGTAGGAGTGATTGCTTCTTACAGAACAGGAATTGGCGTGTAATGTGTGGTCGGTCTCAGGAATTTGCAAGACTTTCTAAAAACTGATAATTTATTGCAGCATTGCTTGCGTTGAAAAGCAAAGGTTCTGCGTATGAACACTTGATTGAATAAAACCAAGTTCGGAAACTGAAACTAGCGGTGAACACCTGCCCGCCTTGATCTGCAATGTGTTGAATGGCGCGAAACATCCAACGTCCGATCTTTTCCGTTAGTGCCGGTGTCAGACTTCTGCGATTGAGCGATTATCAGCCACTTCAGAGCGACGAAACGCTGAGCGTCGCGCGCGAGCGACGGGAATTTCCACCGATACACACGCGCCGACCGCTCGGTGATACTCCCTCGCTCGCACTTTGAAAGGATCGGATCGCCCAACGACCATGCTCGCTGTGATGTGCCTCCTTGGCCGTTGTGGCAGGGAGCTGCGAGCGACGGGACATTTACGAGCTGATGGCGCCGAATTATCGGTGGTCGGCCGTGTAAATCTCCCGTCGCTCCTGCAATTGGTGCTCAATCGCTCCAATCGCAAAGTCTGACATTGGCCACTAGGCCTTGGGGAGAGGGCTAGTTTATGGGAAAGTTCAATTCCGACGACGAACACGATACGCCAAGAGATGAACGGCGGAGTGACGTCCTCGGTAATAGCATAGAGATACGACTGGTGGAATGTCGAGGTGGGAATTCCTAAGATCAAGTAAAGGACTCTGGCAAGCGAGATCCGCAAAACAATGACGACATGAGCACTAAAGGACAAACGGAACTATAGAAATGCTTTGTAAACTCAAAAAAACTCACGCATATGAGCTGGAGGAACACCAACACCTCCATTTGCTGCTAACTGCGCAGCCATTGCTTGATGAAGTTGCGCTTGGATATGAGCCTGAACCAACGCCGGATTTTCTGCTGCCATGCCTGAAAGTGTGGGTTTTTTTTCGTATAATGCAGCATGGCAAACAACAGCTGAGTGTGAATTGAATTTAACATCTCCCGTCAATCATTGAACTAACTCACGAGCAAGTAGAGCAGAGAGGCACAATTGGAGCTCCAGGAGGGAGCACTGGAGGAAGAAATGGAGTTGCACCTGGTGGAAATACTCCTCCCACTGAAGGACCAAGATTTGGAGCTGGAGGGCTTGGACCACTGTTTGGCAGAGGAGCATTCTCTTCCTAGAATGTGAAAGTGACTAACTTTGTTACATACCCCGTCCGATATTTTCCAGTCTGATTAATAGCAGTGCAGAAACTTTTCTCGCATAGTAATAGCACGATTCAGATGGCAAGATCAAGCCCGCGACACCCAACAGCGCCAACACATGGCAATCAGATCACAATAAACAATTTCCCAAGATCATAACCTGGGTAAGGAAGTGGCTACCCTGCATAAAATGCGCACTTACAAAATGAAACGCGCTTGTACAATCGACAAGCTTCGCGAGACCTTACATGCCTGAGTCGCGTTCACAAGACCACAGCGGTGGTGATGGTCGGAGCACATCAAAGCAAGCAGCATCTCCCAGGCTTGCCAAAACTTTGTTTTCAAGGGCTACAGCACATTGGAATCACTTTTCGGAAAGTGGACGAAAAGTTGCAAATGCTAGAAAAGATCTACAACTTGGTGGTGAAAAATATGTAATTTACGTCACTGGAGTAGCGCTACATTTTAAAATCGAAAAAAAAAAACCAAAGCTCGAGTAATGGCACATACCTGTTGTTTTGCGAAGTTTTGCAGTCTATTGAGGAGATGCGCCTGTTGATTCGGATCTTGCAGTGGATTGCCCTTGGTTATCTAATGTTAACACAGGATAAGAAGTTGAAATCGACATGGAACTTTTAAAAAGCGGAGGTAATTAGCAGGACACTACAATTTTATATACTCACTGGTACAGAGCGCGTATCCTTTGAGCTAATAGCCTTTTCCAGATCTTCCAATCTCATGGCACGTACACCACCCGGACCAGCCACAGTTGGTGGCATTGATGGATTTCCCTGGAACAAAAGCCTTAATAAGGGCAACACTATTGAACGGTTCCAGTTCTTTCATTTGTTTGAAGTAGTCGTACCAAAACTGCCAAATGAATAAGATCGAAATTATAATGATCGCAACAAACATCAGACATAAGCTTCCCTAATTACATTCTAAGTAAGTGGTTTACAGAAGCAGTGAAATACCTGTGCAGGATTTTGAGGAGTTTGGCCACCCGATGAAGGAGTTTGAGCAAAAATTTTGGCCAACAAAGGATTAGAAGACTGAGGATCGTCTTGGCTAGTACGAGAGTTCTGTGCATTGCTACCAGCTGTAAAGTCGTTAACGTTAGTTGAAGAAAAAGCATTACAGACCTAAAAAAGATAATGATGGGATAAAACTAACACTGAGAATTATTCTTATTGAAGAAGCGGCTCAAGCGACTGCCAGTAGTCGTTGCAGACGAAGAGGTGTCCTCAGTAACCGCGCTCACCTGAGTAGACATCTAATTAATATTTGCAAAAACTAAAAAAATAACAACAGATTACCTTGTCAAGGATGCCGGACATACAGCTATCATCTTGCACATCAAGCAAACCTAATATTGCAGCAAACTCGGCATCAGTTTCTGGCAGTGCGGGTCCTATAGGGCGAGATCCTTGAAGGAAAATGCATAAAAAGCAGATACGTTCTTCAACACGCTATTTAAGTTCAGAGGTGATAAATGTATCTGAAGTGAAAGCAAGATAGCGCACCAAGTGAATTATCATCTGTTCGTTGTTGATCGAGTTTCCCATTCTCCAACGACTCCTTCCTACCATCTCCCTTCTTTTCCTTCTCTTTCTCCTTTTCTTCTTTTGCACGACTTCCTGACCCTCTCTTGCTTTCTGTAATTACGCGTGCAGGAGCCAACCAGAAGGATATGAAACAATAATGAGAACTGACTTTTGACAGGTTCCTCAAAACCTCGCAACTCGATCATGTCGTCCATTGTTGTTGATCCATCTGCCCATTCCGGCATTCGTTCTTCTCTGCAATTTGAAAAGCAATAATTGTAAATTTTCAAAACCGTGACGCTCAAAAACAAAAAGCCAATAGATGCAACAACATCAGACTAGCCACCACAGCACGTGCTGAGTATAAGAATGCAGTGCAAGAAAACCATTGCGACAAACAAAGAATTACCGTTGATTTTTGGACTGAGAATATTTTCCTCCACTCATTGACGGCCCACGCTCCTTCATTTCCGAACGCCACGAACCAGCACCACCTCCACCAGAACTGCGAGCATTCGCTCCAGTGGATCTTTGCTAAAAACATTGGTATACAGTTTTGAAATGCAAAATCGTAGCACAAAAAGTTCAATACTAAGCATGCAGCACAAGTACCACAATTAACAGACTAAATAGAAGAAGTGATCTTAAAGAAAATTAGACTCACGAAAGGCAATTTGAAATCGCTGCTCTTATTAGAATACTTGTCGGCACCGCCATTCGATCCACCACGCCAGTTCTTCGTGCTATTCGTTCCGAGGCGATCACGGTCTCGCTCAACACCGGTCCAACCGCCTTCATTGGCGAATCCGCTGCTACTTGGAACTCCTGTAATCGGAAAAAAGTGGTTACTTGGGTTGACGCGTTTTTCTGCATTCCTAGCAAATGTCAGAAAAATGGAAAACACACCCTCTTTGCTTTTGTCATCCGCAGGTGCTCGACAACCACCCGAAAACCCTCTTCGTTGTGGTGACAGACCGGCGTTCTCGTCCATGGCTCCTGCAAATAATTAGGTGCAGAAAAAAGATTGGTAACAGATTGTACCTAAAAACAAACAAAAATTTTTATCAGTGATCGACAAGGATAACCACCGATAAAGGACATAGTTTCAGGAAAAATGAGTACAAAGAAATATCCTATACTGTAAAAAATTAGGTGGATTCTAGTCCACAAGTTTTTAATCTCATCGCATTTACGAGCCAGGCATAAGCGCGATGCGCCGAAGCCAAACCTTGTTCTATCGGGCATTGATCAGCATAGGCCTGGTTCGACTGCTTTCTTTGCGATCGACCAGCACATCTCTCGCATTCAAAACACAATGTGCTTCTTAGATTGTGTGAGACGTGGAAGGGAAAAAGCATAAATCAAGAGAACTGAAACACGCTTAGCTTGAGTTATGACGAAACCTGTTAGACAATTCAAAACCAAAACTGCGCGTACAAACGTTAATTCCTTGTAAATGCAATTCCAATCTAGCAACGCTCTCAGGCAAAGTGACTTTAATTTTGTGCGAGCGAGAAGCTACAACACGACCTCACAAAAAAGGTAAAATGATTTCTCTTGATTCGTTCATGTGAGTGCTAAGAATAGCCTCAAGTGCTTCACATTGTAATCCAAACATCAAGATCAGAGGGAAAACCCAAATGACACGCCAATGAACCACAGCTCAACGGCTGATCAACTAAGGAACATCAATCCCAAAAACTCAAGAAACAAATAGAACATACCGCATTCAAGCGATTCTTGATGCCTTCTACCTCCCACCGGTGCTCCAACCACTTGAACGGTGAAAATTTGCCGTCATCTCTATAATGAAAATCATTAAGTAAATAACTGTAGTATAAGCTAGAGAATCTGTAAGCCAGAAGGGAGCCATGAAAATAAACACACCCATTGAAATCAACAGAGAGTATTTCAGGACGTTGCATGCTGAGCGGCGCCGTGGATAAGCGAATCATTTCGTCTCTGTCGTACCGGAACACGTGACCGGTTCGCGGAATAAACTTTTGACCTAGTAAATTCGATACAAGAGGATGGACCTCGTTCTCCTCATCTGACTGACTGGACATATTTACACTGAAATGTTCTACTTTTACCACAGTAGTTATCGCATATTTTGTGCATTAATTTCGTACAATGATCTAACTATCAAGATGAAGGCCGAATAGAACACTCAAGAGAGCAAGAGTTGAGCCCTGACCAAAAATCCCGACTGGAAGCTTGACCTTTTATGGTCAGGGCGTAACTCTGGCTGAACCAAAACCTGCCAGAATAAGCCCAAAAGTAATAAAACAGAATAGCAATGAACAAAAAACAATCACAGATGGCTGCGTGCAAGGCAGCTGCATTTTACACAGCCTACTCATTACTAGTTATTAGCAAGCACAAGAAGAAGAAGAAGTCATGGGAGTTTCGCTAATTACCAAGTTTCTGTAGCAACCATAACCCAGTATACTCACTATCAACTTTTGATGGGTGTTTGAGCGCGACGCCACGTCAACGTGAGCCAGTGCTGATGATCATAAAAAATGCTCAAAAAAACTATCTCGAGCAAGGCGATGCGAGTTCGTTGCTCCAAACTAATTTATGATCAGTACGACCAGAAAATCTTGGGAACTGTGCGAACGAAACAAAGCACAACTGCAAGTTGTTAAATCAAAAAGATAGTTCTTTTTTACACATCCGGTCTCCGTTCTATTCAGTCTGTTCAGTACAAGTTAACACTCCGATAAGCACTCGTAAAATTCGACATCAACTCGCTCTTGTGAACATTTACCATTTCCGGATCGAACGGAATTAGTTCGAAACGATCCGTTTCACCATTTTTGAGATAATTCAATCGGAGACTATCGAAAAATTAATCGCCGAAAAAGAGAAGTTGGAAACTTGAATGAGTTCAGGGGTTCGAAGCTACTGCTTGATTGGCATAACAAAACGAATAGATGGTACCTCCTCTACGACATAGCTTAACAGAGAAAGATTTATAAAATAAAAAACCAGTCACGTGGACGCCTTCCACCTTGTAGGAAGGGATGACTAATCGCTTGGATATAGGAAGCAGCTGAAGCAAGCTTCAGCGTTCTGCGCACTTACCACGAAACACTATCCTGTATGAGGAAAACTACAGCAAAGCAGCAAATTAGCGGCAGATTCCAAAGAATTGATCGAAGAATTATTGAGATGACCACCTCACAAAAGAAAACCAAGAAATATAAGTCCAGCATTTCCGTGAACTCAATCCATAGGTTGAAAAGTGTACGACAACCGCTCGCTACTACGGTAATGGCGTGAAAGGGCGCACCAAAGGTGTACATTGACGC